ATTCTTCACCAACACCACAACACAAAAGCATCAATTCTTCTTTGGTCTTCCTTATTCATTTTCCAGCTCTCACATGCATATGAGGCAATTGAAAATATCATGGCTTGTGTCAGGTGCACCTTAGTCCTCAAGGAGTCATCTTTGCTCCTCAGCACTTACTTGAAAGAAGCACTCTGAAGCCGACTTGTCCAGTGTTATATGTTGTCTGATGTCCTGACTGCTGCTTCCATTGGCAGCAGTCAGGGCCAAAGCATCACCTCAAAGGGTACCATAAATGCAGTATCTGTGCCAAGCACTGTCTAAACTCACCTGAGTAAGTTATAAATAAAAACAAAACTTTTCCCATACTAATGACAATAACAGCTACCATTTGAAGGGCTTTTTTGTAGGTCAGTCTAGGCCTAACATGATTTCACTTTATTTTTACAATGACACAGTAAGGTAGACATTTTAACTCCCAATCTATAGAGAAATAGAGCCAGAATTAAGAAATAGGGCAAATAATCCCACTAATATATCAAAAATAGGCAAAAGAAGCCTTGGTGGCAGACAGATAAGTGCTCAATTGTTAACCTAAAAGTTGGTGGTTCAAACCCACCCAGTAGCTCTGTGGGAGAAAAGACCATAAAACATCCATAAAGATTATAGCCAAGAAAACCCAATGGGACAGTTCCACTTTGTCACATGAGGTTGCTGTGACATGACATAATGCTAATCCAAAGTATACTATAAGTTAAGGATGTATATTGTAGTATCTAGAGCAACCACTAAAAAAAAATGGTAAGTACACCTAAAAGCTAATTTTCCAGTTCTAGTTGCCACTGAGTCACTCCCAACGCATGGTGACACCATGTGTATAGAGAACTGTGCATCACAGGGTTTTCAATGGCTGACTTTTCAGAAGTCAACAGCCAGGCCGAGTAGTGACTTGGATCTTAAAAGCTAGCAAGCTGCCATCTAGATGCAACGATGGGTCTCTCCTCGTCCAGAGCAAAGAAGAATGAAGAAAACCAAAATTCATGGAAACAATTAGTCCTAGAGACTGGTACACCATCTGATCTGCAGCCTATATGACTATGAGACCAGAAGAACTAGACGGTGCCCGGCTACCACTGTCATCCACTTGGAAGGGGATCTATCTAGGAGGGATAGAGAGGAAGAACAATGTGGTACAAAACTCAAAATCATTTGGATGAAAAAAAAAAGGGGGGGGGGGGGAACCAGGTTTGCTGGTCTGATAGAGCCTGGTGGAACCACTGAAACTATGGCCCCTAACTGCCCTTCAGGTCTGGAATTAAACCCACACCTGTGGTTTCCAGCCAAACAAAAGACAGGCATATGAGTTAAACATTTATCTCAAGTAGATACACTCCTTGGAGAGAACAATCATGGGAGAAAGAAGGTGTGCTTATGCACAGGGAGAAAGCTCAGGGGGCAGGAGCGTATGGAGGGATGGACACAAGGAAGAGGTAACTATGGGGAGGAAGTGGGAGGGGAGCTGTTGCATTGTGGTAAACTGTGGTCAATGACATGAGACAAAGTATATGTGAACTGCTGTATGGAAAATGAATTTGCTCTGTAAATCTTCACTCAAATCACAATTAAAAAAAAAAAAAAAAAGAAGTCAATAGCCAGGCAAACTCAAACCTCCAAACTTTTGGTTAGCAACTAAGTGCATTAACCATTTATACTACCCAGGGATTCTACAAAGACAGTAGAACAGAGAAAATAGAATATTAAAAAATACTCAACTAACCCAAAAGAAGACAGCAAAGGAGGGGGAGAAAAAGATACACAAACAGAAAACAAATAAGATGACAGACTTAAACCCATCAGTATCTTGTGGTCGTTGATGCCAACTCATGGCAACTCTACATGTTCAGAGCAGACCTGCTCCATAGAGCTTTCAAGACTGTGATCTTTCAGGCCTGTCTTCTGAGGTCCTTCTGGGTGACTTCTGAAACATCAACTTCTAGGCTATTAGTTGATAACTTAACCATTTGTGCCACTCAGGGACTCCATAGATTTAAACCCAACAGTATAATTACATTAAATATAATTGGGTTAAACTCCGCAATTGAAAAGTAGAGATTGTCAAACTATATTAAAAAAAACAAGTTGACAATACTTTAGTCCACTGATCCAATCTTATTGCTAAAAGGGAAACAATCATTTCTATTGATAGGAAGAACACAGCACCAGCTAAAAAAATACTCTTGCCAAGAAAATTGAGGTCGACTATCAAGATCTATCAGTTTATAGGAACACAAGGGACTGGAGAATGTGTTAAAAAACATCACAATCAACCAAAGGCAGAATGTGGAAAATTGTCCAGGACAAGTCACTTGGCTCTGTTCAACAAAAATTGGTTTGGGGGGGCAGGTAGAGTGAAAGGGACAGGGAAGGAAATGGGAATTGTGATAAATGAAAAGAATCTTAAGAAATATCAACAAAATGAAATGTGTAGACCTTGTTTAAATCCTGATTCAAACCAACTAACTGTAAAAAAACTATTTTGGAGATAACTGAATGTAGACTGGACATAAGTGACATTAAAGAATTATTGTTAATCCTGATAGAAATAATAAATGGATTGTCATTTTGTTAAAAACTTCCTATTAGAGATACAAGTAGAATGGTACATCTGGTATTTGCTTTAAAATACTCCAGCAAAAAATAAAAATATTCCAGCAAAAAATAAAATAAAAAGGAGAGGGAGCAGATATAATAAAAATGGCAAAATACTGACAATTGCTCAAGCTGGCTAATGGATAGATGGGTGTTCATCGTAAGTCCTCTCTACTTTTGTGAATGTTTGAAAACTTTAATAATGAAAGATAAAAACAAGAGTCACTATTATTTTAACTTCCACTAGACAGTAAGCTCTCTGAGGGCAGTGAGTATGACTGGTTCTCCACACTATACCCAGGGTCCAGCACATGTGCCCAGTAAACAGCTGGTGAATGAATGAGCAACTCTTACAAAAGTGGTTGAAGTGTTAATTTAGTGGGTCAGGGTGCTCACCACTCTTCTTGGAAAAGGAATTGTTAGTTTTAAAGGAAGCAAATGGTAGGAGACCAGAGCCACAGAGGATCACTAGGGCAGCACTGAGGGGTCTGGGAATCAAGCCACGTGAGAAGCAGTGAGGGATCCAGGGAGGTTTAATCTGTAGAAGAAACCCTGGCAAAGGATGAGGCAAAGAACTCAGGAGGCAAGCTAGGCAACTTACGATTCAACAAAACGCACTGTCCCTCTCTGTAAGAGAATTTTACTTTCCTGGCCAAGTGACTTGCTTTAGGCAACACAATGAGAAAGGTAAAAAGAAGTGGTATGTGTCTCTTCTGAGCAGTTTTGAGAACTCTTTCACCTCTACCATAGGTGACAGAGACCATTCCACCAGACTAAATCCTGGACTGAGTAAACTGAGAGCAGAGCCCCCAACTGACCCATAATGGCCATACAGTATGAGCAAAACATAAGCTTTTGTCATAAGCCACTGAGATTTAGGGTTATTTATACTCTAAGGCAAGATATGGTAGGCAGAATTCTAAAGATTCCCACAAGATTTCTGTTCATTAGGCGTTTAATCAAACATTAATCTAGGAACCCCATGAAGGGAACATTTTAAAGTCCCAAATCAGTTGATCTTAAAACAGGAAGATTATATCATGGGAGAATAGAAGGGCTGTGTATACACAGGGAGACAGCTCAGGGAGCAAGAGTGCATGGGAGGAAAGGACACAGGGAAGAGGTTAACTATGGGAAGAAGTGAGAGGGGAGCTGTTGCATTGTGGGAAATTGCAGTCAATGTCATGAGACAAGGTATATGTGAGCTGCTGTATGGAAAGTGAATTTGCTCTGTCAACTTTCACCCAAATCACAATAAAAAATAAAAAAAAAGAAACCAACAACAACAAAAAAAAAAAACAGGGAGATTATCCAATGGGTCTGACCTAATTGGGTGAGCACTTTAAAAGCAATTTTCTTCAGCTGGTAGCAGAAGAGAAGTCAGAGAGATATGAAGTGTTAGAAGTGTGTGCCATTGCTGGTTTCAAGACAGAGGGCACCACATAAGAAGGAATGAGGGTGGCCTCGAGGAGAAAAGAACTGCTAGCAAGGAAATAAGGACCTCAGATCTACAACTGCAAGGAACTGGATCTGCTAACAACCTGAATGAGCTTCGAAGTAGATTCTTCCCCAGAGCCTCCAGGTAAGAGGTCAGTGTGGCCAATGCCTTCACTTTGACTTGCTACGGCTGCCCAGACTTCTGACGTACAGAACCAGGAGCTAATAAACTGGTGTTGTTTTAAGCCTTTATATTATGGTAACTTATGTGAGAAACCTGGCAAAGAACAATTTTTTACCCTAGCTGTCCATGCTACTGTAATGAATAAAATGTAAATTACTTAAGACTATTCCAAAATCCAGAGAAGCTTTCAGTCATGATGTACTTTCTTCATTAAAGTTCCAAAAAATATATGTAAATTGCCTGGTGCAGTGATTGTAACTGCTTAACAAATGTGAGTGCACCCACCTGCATTCCTTTATTATTTACTGGTCACACATGTAGGGCACTTATTAAGTACACGTGGCAGTGTACGGTCTCACCCATACACAGAGCTACGGTAAGTTTCCAGAGAATCTGTAACTTGCTTTTCTTTACATTCCACTGAAATACCTGGTACAGTCCACACACTAGGCACTTCCAGAAAGAAATAAGCAATCATACACATTCAAATAAATATGTGTTATATTGGATAGACCTTGGCTACCAGCCACTCCTCCGAAGGAAGACTGGGCAATCTATTTCTGTAGAGATACTATCTCAGAAACCCAAGGAGGGGTCGCTATGAGTCAGCCAACTTGATGGCAGTCAATCTGGGTTTTTTTAAATCCTCAAATGAGGCCGAGAATTTTGATGTACCTAAAAGGAATATGGTGATGGGATAAAGTACTTTCTGAACCACTTTGGCTTCCAAGACAGAAGGGGCCTTACTTACCTTTACGTCTGCTACCTGGGCACCAAGGCTGCTGAGTCCCACAATGGAATAGAAAGCAGATTCCAAATTTGTGAAAGGGCGGTCCAACGAGACTTTCAGTCTTTCCACATCATGCTTGGTGAGGTAGTGAGTAGGCGTCAAAGCCTGGATGCTGGCTATGATTGTCAGGGCCAACAGGAAGACAGTGCTTGAACCTTGGGGGGAAATGACTATTAAAAACACTCCACAATATTCCAAACTTCTATGTATAGTCCCAATGGTGCACACCAGGACGTCTGGGAACAAAGTCCTGTGAGGAATGCTGGGGGAACGGGGAGGTGTAAACTGAAGAGAAACCTTGGGAAGGATGGGCACAATCTTCAACTATCTGACAGTCCTCCCAGCAGCCTCTGCGTATCTAAAGCACAGGACTCATCACGTCATTGTCCTGTTTAATGCATATTTATAACTCCTATGGCTCTTAGGACAAACTGAATCCTCATCATGGCCTTGACTGCTTCTCATCCAATCTCCTCCCTCATTCTTTCCACTTTCTGTTGCTGTCTGGCCTCCGCTATTCCCCTAAGGAGCCATGTTCCTTCTTGCCTGGGCTTTCTTATGGTTTTCCCTGCTTTAGAAGCAGTTGCTGCTGAGTCATCCCTACTCACGGCGACCCCGTGGGTCAGAGTAGAAGTGAGCTCCATAGGGTTTTCAGTAGCTGACTCCTTAGAAGCAGATCATCAGGTCTTTCTTCCTAAGCACCTCTGGATGAACTTGAACCTCCACCTGAATTTTGCTGAACTTCTACTCATCCTTCAGAATTGAGCTTAAGCATCTCTTCCTTAAGAAGCCCTCCGTAGGATTAGTTCCCCAATATCACAGTTAGTGAAGAACATAGCCTCTGAAGTCAAGTTTAAATCGCCAAGTGTAACAATGTGGCCACGGCTAAGTTACTCAGCCAGCCCGAGCCTCAGTGTCCTCAACTGTGAAGTGGGATAATAATAATATCTACCTCAGAGTTATTATATTTAAATTAATATCAAAATCTCTTAGAATGGTAACTGGCAATGACAAATGATACATAAATATTAGCTACTAGTTCTACTGCTGTTGTTGTTATTATATACACTCACAGTACCCAGTAACCTTAAGAAGGTAAAAAGCACTAAAGTATTCTTCACAACTATTATAAAATGTATTATCTATCTCCTCTGCTAAATTATAAGCTCCACGAGGCTGTTTCTATCATTCATCCCAGTATTTCTGAGTCTTGCTGTGTACAGCCTGGCACATAGTAGGTACTAAATAAATATTTGCTGAATAAATGGGAAAGAAAAACTAATCCTCACCCATGACACCCCAGGGGACAGGAAGAAGTTATGAGAGCTACATTTCTGATTTTCATAAAAACAAAACAAACTTTCTAATTAGTTGTTTCACGTGAAAATGAACTGTCTGCCATCCAAGTAATTGCTATAGCAAGTAATCACAAGACTAACATTACTGGTCCTAGATCTTTTGCCTACAGTAACAAATTCAGTATAAATTAGGAGGCCTTAAAGGAGCTCTGGTAGTGTAGGGGTTAACATATTAGGCTGCTAACCGAAAGCCTGGAAATTCAAAACTACCAGCCTTGCCACAGGAGAAAGATGAGGCAGTCTGCTTCCGAAAAGATTTATAGCCTTGGAAACTCTATGGGGGTTGCTATGAGTAGGAATCAACTTGATGGTAGTGAGTTTGGTTTTGGAGGACCCCTTAATAAACTCCGGTGGGGTGATGGCCAAGTGCTTGGCTGTTAACCAAAAGGCTGGAGGTTGGACCCACAAGGTGCTCTGTGGGAGAAAAGACCTGGCAATCTGCCCTCGTAACTATTACAGACTAGGAAACACTCTCGGGCAGTTCTCCACTGCCATGTAGGGTTGCTATGTGCTGGAACAGACTTGATGGCATACAACAACAGAATCCCTTATGAAAGGCATTACTATCTACATCTTACAAATACAAAAACTGAGGACCAGAGTAGCTTGCAAACACCCAGCTTGGACTCATGCCCAGGTCTAACTCCACAGAGTTCACGCTCCACTATTTTTTAGAGAATCTTATAGAAGGGGCAACTCATCGAGAATCATTCTTCCATGAATGTTAGTTCCATTTAAGTCTTTGTGTGTGTGTTAAACAACCCAAAGAAAGTGAAAGCTCTTGGCAAAACAAACAAAAACAAAACGAGAAAGTGATCTATAATGTATTCATTCATTAAATTATTTATTGAATGCTACTGTGTGGTAGGCACTATTTTAAAGATACAACAAGAAACAGAATAGACAAAAATCCTTGCCATTATGGATCTTACATTCTAGTGGGAAAAGACAGCACTTTAAGACTGTCAAATAAAAGACAAAATAATGAAGAAAGATATTTATCATGTTAAAAGGTGAAAAATAGTATGGAGAAATAAAAAGCACAGAAATACTATCTAAGAAAGGCTGCAGTTTTTAATAAGGTAGTCTATGAAGGTCTCACAAAGAAGTAAAAGCAGTGAGTAGAGACAGACTGAAGAAGAAGCAACACATGAAGATATCTGGAGGGAAAGTAACCTAAGGAGAAGAGCAAGCTAACGAACCTGAATCAGGGTGTATACAGTATTTTTTACATCAGCAAGGAATATAGCATGGCTAGAATAGGGTAAGCAAGGAGCGAGAAGAGATGAGGACACAGAGGTAGCAGGGCCAAGCCTAAGGGACTTGTAAGCCACTGTAAGAGACTCTGGCTTTAACTCAGCAAGATGGAAGGCACTGGAGGGTTTTGAACAGTGATTTTGACTTACATTTTATCAGGATCATTGTGTGTACTGAGACAGTGCTGTGTGGAGAACAGACTATAGGAGCAAGGACAGAAAGTGGGATACCAGTTAGGAGACTATTACCATAATCCAAATAAAAAGATGATAGTGGTCCAAACCAGCATAACAGCAGTGGAAGTGGTGAGAAGTGATTAGAGTCTGGAAAGAATTCAAAGTTAATGCCTATCAGATTTGCTAACGGATAGAAAGATTTTATAAAAAAGACAGGAGTCAAGTTACTAATGCTAAATCCACAGTGCCTTGTGCACATACATGTACTCAATAGTGCCTAAGGTATTTGACTGCTAACCAGAAGGCTGGCGGTTCAAACCCACCAGCCACTCCTC